CTAGCTTTTGAAGTTTTGTAAATGTCTGTTTTCTTTTAGCTGGTGAATTAAGTCCGTTTATATTGATTGAAATGAGTTTTAGCTCTTTTTCCATCTCTCTTTATTTATCTATCCGTTGTTTGCAGTCTTTTTGTGTTTCTAGTGATCATTTGCGTCTTTTCCCTCGCTCCCTCTCTCTCCATTCTTTCTCTTTCCAATCTTATCCCCTCTTCTTGGTCTCTTTCTTCTTTCTCTGTCCGCTGTTCCTCTTGCCTCTTAAGTTCCTCTTCTTTTCTGCTCTCCTGCTCCTCCTCCAGCACCAAGTGTTGGTCAAAGAAGTCCTGTGCTTTTCCTACGCTATCGATTCTGTATTTTTTGTCTTCCCAGGAGATTAGTAGACCCTCCGGTATTAGCCAGCGGAACTTTATTTTAAATTTATTCAACTGTGCCGTTAAAAAGTTGTAGTTCCTTCTTTGGTCCCTTGTCCTTTTTGGTATCTGTTTGAGGGTTAAGATTTCTTTTCCTTTATACATAGCTGTATCCTCTCTCATCTTCCTATAGATCTCTTCTTTTAAAGATTTTTTTGTGAATCTGATGTGTATTTCTTTTGGTAACTTATTTCTCCGGGCGTAGTTCGTGTGAACTCTATAGATTTCGTCTATTCCACTTCGTATCTCTTCCTTGTCCCTCTGGGTCACTTCTGAAAGTATCTCGGTCATGATTTCTCCTAGATCCTCCTCCTTTTGCTCTTCTACGTTCTGAAACCTTAAGTAGAAGGATGCCTTCTCCATCTCAAGATATGATACCGTGTCCTCTAAATCCTTATTTGTGGCCGCTTGGTTGTATTCCATCTTCTCCATTCTCTTATTTGTATGTTCTATTCTCTCCTCCACCTTATAAATCCTCTGTTCATTTTCCTCTATTTTATGTTGTATCTTTCCTATCTTCTCATCCATGTTCCTAATATTATCCTTTATCTCTCCCACATCCATCCTAAGTTCCTCATGATTTTTCCTTGTCTCCTCATGGTTGTAGACCATGGTCTCTTGCATTTTATTCCTTCCTTCCTGGATCATTGTTAGTACGGAGTGAATGTTTTGCATACTAAGGGTGGGAGTTGCTTTATCTTTTTCCGTGGCTTCAACTGTTTTTTGTTGTGCTGGGGAGGCCATGAGTATCATCTGGCTTGATGGTATTTTCTTACTTAACTTAGAGATTGTTGTTGAACTTGTAGTTGCCATTTGTATTTCTTTTATTATCTTCTCCCAGAATTTCATATACTGATTACTATTTGGGCTGTTCTATTTCTTTTAGTATTTATGTTTGATTGGTGGCTTTCAGTAATCCCAATAATCCCAGTAATCCCAGGGAGATAAGTAACCAAAATGAGTTCCTTTGTCACACTATCACTGTCTATATATAAATTTATCTATAAATTCTATTTTTCACTTTTCAATATTTTACAGAGTTTTTCAATTCATGATGGCTATCTGGCCTATATTACTCTCTAAGCATGGGGTGAAATATAAGGGGAGGGAGTGAGGGAAAAGTCTAATACTTCAGCAGTTCATCAGTTAGCTATCCTTATAATTAATTACTTACTATCTAATTTGCATTTATTATTAATTACTATTTATCAAATCAATTACTCTTAATTTCTATCCTAGATTCAATTAATCTATCTAATATAATTTTTCAAACCTAAACATACAAAACAATATAATATTTAACTACCGAGGTAAAATATAGCACTAAGATAAGTATAAATATATATTTAGAATAAATATGAAATTAAGTTAACAGTTATATATATAGTATATAGGATTATATATGAAATTTCACAAACAGTACATTTAATATTAATGCTTTTTATGCTTCTTAATCACTAATTTGTTATCAGCTTTTAATACAATTAATTATACTTTACAGTTGATTCTTCTTCGTCTGGATCGCTCTCTTCTCTCTTTTTTTTTTTCCAAATTTGTATCCTTCTTATTTATTGTTCAGAGTCTAGTGTCCCAATACTTTTAGATTGAATGTCCAATGTCCACTAAAGCTCCAAGACTCCCGAGTGTCCACCTTTCAACAACAACAACAACAAAAAAAATAGAGGGTAGAATAATCCAAGTCCCAATGTCTAAGTCCAAACCTCCAAATATCCAAAGTCCCAAAATCCAAAAGTCCAAGAGTCCAAGGAAAAATATTCCGCTTAGGTTGATTTGATTTAGCTCCAAAAGTCACTAACTTCCACTTTAAACGGAGTTTTTCTGCCGCTCTCTCTTCCGGTATCAGCTGCTTGTTAATTGTCTCGTTGTCGCCTCCACAAAGGGCAAAGTCCATCAAATTAATCCCTTTCTCTCCTTAAGTTCAGTCTCTCCTCTGTAGCAAAATATTCAAAATCCAAGTTTCTCTGGGATCACTTTCTCCTCCTGGGTTTCCCCTGGATTTCCTCCGCTTTCGCCGGCTGCTAATTTATGCGCTGTCACTGTCAAAATGGAAGCCGTCTCCGCTTATTTCTCAGTCGCCGCTTGTCTAGCGAAGGTTCGCTTCTTAGTTGGAGTTTTATCTTCTTCCGCCTTCGATTCTCACGTTGTGGGTTGTAAATGTACCTTTTGAGCTCTTTTTCTTCCCGATCTTTCCACCGAAGTCTTCTTTATTTGATTTTCGCTTCCCTCTTAGTCAGCTGTCAACGTTTCTGGCTAGCCGGGGTGGCTGGTTTTTCCCCGATCAGGATTAAGGGGGATTTCCTGAACCTTCGGGGGGATTGCTGTCCTCCCCGAGGTCCTCGGAGTTTCCCCTTTTTTCTATTGACCTCTCTGAGGTCAATAGTGCCTAAATCGGCTCCTAAATCGGAGATATTAGGGACTTGGAGAACGGAGGTCCGTTCCTTTCGTCCCTAACACGCTGACGTCACCGCCGGAAGTCCGAGGCTGAAGCTTAAATGACAACTGATTCCCAGCATTAATAGTCTTTATATATAATATACATAATATTACCACGGTTGTCTTCACATCTTACGTCTCGGGAAAAAAACCTTCAATGTTACCAGATTTGATTAATTTCCAAAGCTATTTTGTGCTAGTATATGCTGGCTGAAAGAAGACCAGGCTAGCTACAGGCCCAGACTTCTGAATGTTACAGATCCTGGTATAACTAAGTCCAGAGTAGAAGGAAAGGTGAAAATGGAATTGAGAGAGAAATTCTGTTGCACAAATAGATATTGATTTGTGCCTTTGCTTGGTCAAAGGATTATGCAACTAGAATTTTTGCCTTATCCTGTGAAAGCAAGATTCAGAGGAAGGCAGAGAAATTTTATGTCCATTTATTCCAGCCATTTGCAGAAATGACTTGAAAAAGCAGGGCTAGACCTGACTGCACCAGAGTATACATATTATTAAGAATATTTATGCATGTGTCCTTGGGACAAAGGAAGACACAAAGATTTATTGCAATACCAATTTGACAGCAGTTTTGAATTAGTCAGTAAGAAGATGAAGCAGTCTGTTTAGCCTAAAAAGGATTGCAGGCTTCTCATCTGTCCAATAATATGACTTACCAATTCTGAAGTGATGATTAGGAAAATAGCCATCTCGTTGTTCTCTTCACAGCTCAGCAAAAGAACAAGAGGCAGACAATTTTGACCTAATCACTTGAAAAAAAATCATATTGATTCTCTTTCTTAGGATTTTTTGCTTAGAGTGTACTATTATAAACACATTGCCAAATGAGTGTTTCATTCATATAATGAGAGTTTTGTATTTTAATTGTTTTGGATTTCATGTGACAAAATGAGGGTTACCAAGATGTAAAATAGACAAGTTTCTGGTCAGCAAATAGCTTTGATGGTGAGAAGCAACGTTTGAGAAGGTGAACTGCCACCTTATGGCAGAAAATGTCTAATATTGCTTCTCAGGTAGAGAAAGACCAGGCAGCAGTAGCCATAGCTTCTAAGTGAGCTGTTGTTCTATTGTTTCCTGCAAAGACAGTAGAGAAAAAGAGATGCTTGGAGAAGAATTGGAGGGCAGCATTGCTTAGAGCAGGAGTCCCCAATTCCCTGGCCATGGAGCAGTATTAGTCCATGGACCAGTAGGAACTAGGCCACACAAGTGAGCTGAAGCTTCATTTGTGCATGTGCAAGATCTAAGTAGTGTGCAAAACCACACCTCACCCCAGTCCATGGAAAAATTGTTTCCCAGGAAGCTGGTCCCTGGTGCCCAAACGATTGGGGACCGCTGGCTTAGAGGCCTATACTAGGTTTAAACCCTTGTTTTGTCATAAAGCTCGCTAGAAAGTTTAGGCTGAATGCTTTAATTTGCTTTAAAAAATGACAAATACAGATAGTTTTCGATGTATGATCCTGTAGCACTTCTGGCAGTTGTAAAATAATGTGCTCCCCATGGTCACATGACATTTCAGGCATTTGGCAACCAGCTCATCTTTATAGTCATGTGACTGCAATGTGTAACATTTTTTGCTAGTTTCCAACATTTTTTTACTGATTTCCAGAAAAAAGCACCCATTCAGAAAAATAGGTTCACATTTACAATCATGTCATTTGCTTAACAACCATGAATTCACTTAAAGCAAATCATGGTGACTGTTTGCACAGTCTGACTGTTTGCAATGACTGTTGCAAAAATTGTTGTAAATCAGGTCTGGTGAAATGAGTGTTGTATAACTATCTTACCACTAGAAACCAGGTCCCAATTGCATTTATAAGTTGAAGAATACCTGTATATCATCCTTGATAGAAGATATATAGGTATTTCTCATTTAGCAACCCCAATTGGGACCAGCAACTTAATTGTTAAGCAAAGTAGTAACTAAGTGAAACAAAAGCTTTACTTATTACCGTATTTTTCAGAGTATAAGACACACCTTTTTCCCCCCTAAAAGGGGGTGAAAATTTAAGTGCGTCTTATACACTGAATGTAGCCCCACCCACCCACTGGCTCCCACTCTTTGGCCTCTGCCTCCCAGAAGTTACCTCCTTGCAGCAAACAGCAAGAAAGAACAGCTCCTTTCAGCTTCAGCACAACCTAATTAGCACAAGTTGATTGGATCGGCCTCCCGACTCTCAGCTGTTTTGCTCTCAGCTGTCTTGCGCAGGTCTCTGCTGCTTGCTGCAAGGAAGAAAATTGCTGGAGCAGATTTTTTTTGTCCCTTGTGCTAATCAAACTATGCTGAAAACGAAAATGAAAGTAAAGCAAGCTGTTTGCTGCAACGAGGCAAAATTGCTCAGAGGCAGAGGGAGATTTCTTTTTCTTCTTTTCCTCACCAAAAAAGGTAGGTGCGTTTTATAATCCAGTGCGTTTTATACTCCAAAAAATACGGTATCTTATTTCAGCTTTCCTTTGTTTTACAGATCTGTGAAGGTCATAAATTCAACGATTGGTCAAAAAACTACTTTTCATCACTGTTGTTGTTGTAGCGCAGGAATAACGAGAGGCACAAGCAGGCTAGTAACAACAGCTCTTTAATTCAGGGTGAGACTTCAGCAAAGGAACACAGGCAACAGCCCTCTTTATATACTTTTCAGGGGCGACCAAGAACCAATCAGACTTCACTGTACATTTGAATTTCCCGCACAAAATAGATACATACATAACACCCCTCCACTCCCAGAAGGCACTTATTCTATCTATTTACATATTTACATACACGCAGGTGACCAGGGCGTGTCTTATTGCTGGTTGACCTGCGCAGTTCAGTTGTTGGCGAGGCGTCAAGCCGGTCGGAGGGACCTCCCGTCTCTCCCGGCTCCGCCAATGGAACCTCCTGGATTTCTCCAGAGGTGTGGCTATCTCCGGCTGGGAGTGTCGGCTCGCTGGGGCGGCGCTGGAACTCAGGGTTGCCAGATAAGTATTCCGGCTTACTCGGGCTTGAGGTAGCTGTGTCAGGAAGACCTTGAAAGTTAGGACATGAGTTTTCGTTTTGTAAACGTTTACGCAATTGATCTATATGCCTCCTCCAGATTTTACCATGCCCTATATCGACTGTATATGACTTTGGGCCGGTAATTCCTACGATGGTTCCCTCTACCCATAAGGGCCCATTGGTGTAACTTCTAGCAAAAACTGGTGTTCCTACTTGGAACTGTCTTAGTCCTCCCCCTTCCCCCTTGAAGCTATCGGGGGAGTAATTGGGATGCAGTCGGTCGAGAACGCATCTTAGCTTTCGGCCCATTAAGAGCTGGGCTGGGCTACGGCCCGAGGTGGGGCACGGGGTGGCGTGCTGTACCGCTAAGAACTCATCTATTCTAGCCTGCCAGTCCCCTGCATCAAGCCAGGAAAGAGCTTCTTTGGCCGTTCTTACAAATCTCTCTGCAAGGCCATTAGAAGCCGGATGAAAAGGAGCGAATAATGCATGTCTTATGCCTAATCTGGCTAGGTAGCCTTCAAACTGAGTTGCCATGAATTGGGGCCCATTGTCAGATACCAGGGTGTCCGGCAACCCGTGTGTTGCGAATAGTTTTCTGAGTACTTTGATTACGGCCTCAGAAGTGGTAGATGGCATTAGGGCAATTTCGAGCCACTTCGAATATGCATCTACAATAATAAGAAAGTTCTGGCCGTGAAACGGGCCAGCGAAATCAATGTGAATCCTCCCCCATGGCCCTTTTGGTTTTTCCCATTCACGAACAGGAGCTATGGGCGGATCTGGGCGGGACTCCTGGCAGGGTCTGCACTTCCCCACCCACTCAGTGACATCTTGGTCGAGATGTGGCCACCAAACATAACTACGAGCTAGGCCTTTCATGCGAACAATACCAGGGTGTCCCTCATGCAACATTTCCAGAACTCTGTGCCTTAACCGCGAAGGAATGACCACCCTGTCTCCCCACAACAAGCAACCCCCCAACATTGACAGTTCATTTTTTTGTTAAAGTACAATTGAAAGTCACCACCGTCCATCTTGGTAGGCCAACCCCTCGTTACCCAGCCCATTACAGTGCGCAAAACAGAGTCTCTGGCAGAAACCCTCGCCACCTCGTTTGAAGAAATGGGGCCCGGGGAAACAATGTCAAGCAATAAAACCGGGGCTTCCGGGGTCGGATTGTCCAACAATTCGGGCAAGGGGCATCGGCTGAGGGCGTCAGCATGTCCTAAAGTTTTGCCCGGCTGGTGGAGCAGTCTGTACGAGTACACGGCTAAGAAAATGGACCATCTGGTCATCAGGGGGGAAAGAGCAGCTGGGGTCAGTTTATCTCCAGCCAAAAGTCCCAAAAGAGACTGCTGGTCCATAATAAGTTCAAAAGTGCGGCCAAACAAATACTCGTGAAACTTTTTGACCCCAGCTACAGCCACTAGTGCCTCCCTATCTAACTGGCTATAGTTTCTTTCAGCACTCGACAAAGTGCGAGAGTAATAGGCGATGGGCACCTCTAACCCGTTCGGCAATCTATGGCTTAAAACCGCGCCTACACCAAAGGGGGAAGCGTCATAGACCAATACTAGAGGTAGTTCGGAATTGTATTGGATGAGGAAACTGTCCTCAGTCAAGTCTTTTTACGGTGTTGAATGCGGCCGCTTCTCACTTGCCCCAAACCCATGGAACGTTTTTTCCAAGGAGCCTGTGCAGAGGCTCCGCAACGGTGGCTTTGTGTTTCAAAAACATCGTATAGAAATTGAGAAGGCCCAGGAAAGCCTGCAGTTCGGATTTTGACTTGGGGGTGGGCGTGCTTTGGATGGCCCTAACTTTGCTTTCTGTGGGGTGAATGCCCATGCCGCCGATTCTGTAGCCTAAGAATTCTACTGATGGAACCGCTATCTTGCATTTTGTTCGCTTGAGTTTAAGTCCCGCTTCTCTGAACCTCGTTAGGACTTGTCTAACCCTCTGGCCTAACTGAGTCTCGTCTTGGCCACTAATCAAAACGTCGTCAAAATACGGGACGACACCTGGGAGGCCTTGTAGGAGGCGCTCCATTGTGCTTTGAAAGAGTCCTGGGGTGATGCTGGCCCCAAACTGAAGCCTGGTGCATTTAAAGGCACCTCTGTGAGTTACTATTGTCTGTGATTCTGCCGTAGCATCATCTACTGGCAGTTGCTGGTACGCCTGCGCAAGGTCTAGTTTTGCAAATAGCTTGCCAGGCCCCAGGGAATGTAGTAGATGGTGGACTATCGGAACCAGATAGGTGCTCTGCTGCAATGCCTTGTTAATCGAACATTTATAGTGGGTGCAAATTCTGATTGAGCCATCCGATTTGACTGGCATGACTATTGGGGTTTCCCACTTAGCATGATCTACGGGAACTAACACCCCTTGCTTAATGAGCTTGTCGAGCTCCGCATCAATTTTGGGCTTTAAAGCAAAAGGAACTCGTCTTGCTTTCAGTCTGATTGGTGCTACGTTGGGGTCTAAATTAAATGATATAGGGGTCCCCACGTACTTGCCTAGAGTTTCTTCGAAAACGTCCCAAAACTCGTGGAGCAGGGTTTCTTTAAGTGATGATCCGCTGATGCTGTGAATGCCCGTGAAGCCCATGCCGAGGGCCCGGAACCATTTCATGCCCAGTAAACTTGGTAGAGGCTTGCTAACGACGGTCAGAGGCAGCTCTTTGTGGAACTCGCCGTAGGTGACCCGGAACGTGCCCACGCCTTCAACGGGAACTCGGTTTCCCTGGTAGTCAAGTAGGCGGATTTTCTGGCGGGACAGCTGGTTCTTCTGAAGCTTGGGCAGGAGTGTCTTGAGTGTTGACCAGGACATGATCGATAACGTAGACCCGGTGTCGATTTCCATTTCGCACGGTTTGCCATCGATTTCTACTTTTGTGTAGACTTTCTCATCGTCGGTTGTGCTGGCTTGGCCGATTCTCGTGCTGTAGGTGTCCCGCTTTTGAGGTTCGCGCTGTTTTCTCGCGCCATCATCTTTGATTGGCTGTTTTGAACGAGCCGATTCTGGTTGGTCGCGGTAGTCACGTGGCCTTCGACTACGCGGAAATTGAGCTCTGCAAACTCGTGCTGGTGGCCTTTCCTGTCGCAACGCCTGCAAATGGCTTCTCTGTATTTACACAATTGTCTCTTGTGATCCCCGCCACAGCTAGGGCAGTTCTCGTGGTGGCAGCTATGTCCGCTCAATTTCTTTTCTGTATGGAAGACGTCCTCATCCGACTCTTCCTCTGTGCTGGTTCGCACTTCTTCTCTGTGGACGGGGGTTGTTTTCGGCCCATCTTTGCTTGGGCTGGGTCGCTGCAGAGCTTCCTAAGCTTTTGTTGATGCCTCGTGTGCTCAGGCTTCGTCTAGCACGCTGGCTAGCGTTAGGTCTGGCTTGGCTAGAAGACGCCTTTGTAACTGGGTATCTCGAACCCCGCAAATCAGTTGTTCAAGCAACGTGTCATCTAAGTCTCTGTAGTCACAATGCGATGTGGCTTTTCGAAGTGTGGCCACATAAGCGCTGACCGGCTCTCCTTCTTTTTGAACTCGTTGCCGGAGTTCGTAGCGCTGCACAAATTTGGACGGGACTGGACCGTAGTGGGCTCTCAGGTTGGCCTGAAGGATGTCCCAGGGAACTGTCTGAACTTGGGTTGGCTCGCAGAGGGACTCGGCCATCTCGAATACGTCTGGCCCGCAGTGGCTTAAGAACAGAGCCCTTTTTCTGTTCGCAGAGAGCCCTTGCATTTCGCTCGCTTCCAGGGAGCACTCGAACCTGGTCAGATACGATCCCCACTTCTCTCGGGACGGGTCGAAGGGTTTTGGCGGAACGTAGGCAGACATGCCATGTCTCCGTGTTCGCTAGTCACCCTGGCTGAAACTCCAAGCTCTTTTTTGAATCGCCTCTTGTGGCCTCTATCCCACCTTCATCGCCAATGTTGTAGCGCGGGAATAACGAGAGGCACAAGCAGGCTAGTAACAACAGCTCTTTAATTCAGGGTGAGACTTCAGCAAAGGAACACAGGCAACAGCCCTCTTTATATACTTTTCAGGGGCGACCAAGAACCAATCAGAATTCACTGTACATTTGAATTTCCCGCACAAAATAGATACATACATAACAGTTGTAACTGCAAATAGTTACTAAATGAGGCAATTGCAAAATGAAGACTGCCAATAATTGAAATGTAAGACTATGGAGAGGGGGATGGAGGGAAGGGTTAGTTATCCAGTCCTAATATTTGGCATTGAAGTTTTTACTGCAGCTTTAACTTTCAGCAAGAATGTTAAAGTTGCAATAAATGAAGAGGAACTGGAAAGCAACACATAATTTTTTCTCCCTTCTTTCAAGCATTTATGTATATAACTGTTGACCCTGCCTCCAAATTAAATTTAAAAAATACAGTTATGGTGATGTTGCCTCTTGACTATATTGCTTCCCACTATTAACCTCTCCAATATGAAAAGTAATTGTGACAAATGATAGTAATCATATGTTAATAAAGTTCATGATTTTTTTCTTTGGAAAACAAGGTGACTGTAAAATATCTGATTAACACAATATATAACTAGGCCTCTTGATGGATCATTAGTTGTATAGGATATTAATTGCAGGTCTAATCATTAATTAATCAATTTGTTGCCTTCACATAATATATTGGACCATAAAATGACCAAATGATTGGATTTGTTCAACATCTACCCTCCAACCCTCAAATAAGAATGTTGGCTGGGGAATTCTGGGAGTTGACGTTCATACATCTTAATGTTGCCAAGATTGCAAAATACCATGCTAGGGAACTAATTTTGGGGAAATATCTGAGAGCACTATTAAACTCCAGACTATACAGGAAATTGAAGATGGCAACTTCCAAGCCGCCTACAAGCTCAAAGCCAAGTAATAGCAAAACATAAAGAAGAAGGCCAACCCTGGAACCAGCCTGTCTCTCATATATCATTCTCATTGGAACTTACGTTGTAATAAGAGAACAAGCAATTGTTTGGGGCATTTTCTTGTTTTTTTTTTAATGATTTAACATGTTATTGTAAATTTATTATAATTAATGAATAATAGACAATTTATTATAAATTGTCTGCAGACAAAAAAAAAAAGCAGTTTAAGATGACAGACATGAAAAGCTACTCTTGGTGATGATGGTCAAGATGTTATTGACAGAATCCAAGAACATAATCTAACACTGATTTTCTAATGGCATTTGAAATTAAATTGAATGATTTAATGAAAATACCCACTACAAGGATTGCCAACTTTTTGGTATCCAAAAGCTGTACTTAATCTTAGCAGGAAGACAATGTCTTCCACAAACGTAATAGATCAACACTGCCCTGCCTCCAACTTCCTTCCCTCCAGGTCTTGGATAGATTTAGGGTCTTTTTTTCTCCTGTGGTATCCAGTGGTGGGGATAAAGGAAATTTCAGGACCAAAACAGACCTTGAAGCCTTCAAAATCATGGAGTATTATCCCATATTTCTCCCACCCAGGGAACTGCATAAAACAATTACTACCTGCCAATTCTTACAAATGAAAAAGTCATACATTCACTGTTATAAGAGGCTGTCAAAAGAAAAAAAACTTAATTTAAGCTACCACACTAACACAAGAATGGCGTTAGAAGAAAAGCCTTCTTCAAATAACGATTATAAGCATGTTCTTTATTGTAGCAT